GTGTTTGTTTTTTGTGACCAAGATGCATGTGTTGTCAAAGACTTCAGAGAAAGTTAAAAGTAGAAAATAGGACGTACTTCCACACCAAAGCAAGTGATTGCATTAATTAAAATTACTAAAAACCAACCTTTGAATTATTCGTCCAGTGATATAATCTCAGAGTCAGCATAATAATTCAAATAAATTGTTTACTCTTGGTGATCAGTCAAGAGTGTTTTATGAAGTTAAAGGAACTAACTTAGAGTTTAGGTAACTAAAGATCAGATACGTAAAGTGACTGGATGTAAGCTATAGAAAACACAGGAAACAGCTGTATACACACACACAACATTTATTACTAACTAAAACAAACAAATAACAACAACAAACATACAAAAAAAATACAAACAATGATGAAAATGCTGGTTGACAATATGAGTGTGAAAAACTGAATGTGGAGCAGAGTGGTGGCTTGGAGACTTAAAAGTCTTTTCACCCGAAGCAGCAGATAATCTGTTAAATTTGAAATATTGGTCGAAAGGCCAATTGTAATCATGAAACACCCGTTTAGAGATGAAAGCTCAATACTTGCAGCATCCTTGGATTTGGATGTGGATGCAGCGATGTCTGATGTCTGATGAAGAGATGAGGCCTTTAGCTCCAGAGTGGGAAGATCAGGGTGTGGCAGTCAAAGTTGAGAACATGGAAAGACCAAGAGTGAGCAATTCTACTGCAGTCAGAGAATGCCGCTGCTTTTTGGGTGAAGAGGCCTTTAATAGTAAAGTAGTAACAATGTTGTTATAGAACTATATATACTTGTAATTATATAAAGGCAAGCTTGTTGGAAATGAAAATGTGTCACATCCAGTTCATCACGAGGTGTCTTACATGAGCTAGTTATCTATTATGGGTACAAAAATAATACAGTGTTAGGATATAGGATTATATAACAAGCTGATAAACTAAAGAAGGGTTAATACAATTCTGATTATATTTTGGAGTATTTATCAGGACATTATACTTCCACATTTAATAACAATTAAACTTAAGTAAGATAATAAGGCACATCCCCTGGTACTGTATCTTCACTGTTCATTCATAAGTTCAGTTGTTGCATGCCACAGGAAATGAGGGGTCAGCGGAGCAATACGTTAAGCCCGGGGCAATACATTACACCCGGCCATCTGTAAGGTCTGCGTGGTTGAATGTTTTTCTTCGTCTTTCCCCAAAAGCTTCTTTGTGTTACGATCCTTTGCAGCTCTGATAAGTGTGATAAAGGAATTCCTAAGTGGGCTCTGCTTGTCCTGGCTTTGGCTTCCCCTAGTCTGCAAAGCTGATTTACATGGCCCTGTGACCTGCAGGATAGTTCTATCTTTTATGACATGTGACTGCGAGCTAGAAAGTTCGAATGAAGCCTCTTGAATCCTCTTGGCATTTGTGTCTGTTCATATCCAACACTGCCATGCTATACATGCTGTTTACAAGTGTATGTGGGCTTTGCTTTACAACTCTGTGAACAGTTGCCTATATATGGCAGGTTGGGCTTCTTCCATTTTGTGGCCTTTCCTTAGATGGTCCCCATGTAAGGAATCTTTATTTTAATTATGTATTCAAATGCAGAAGCAATGTTAGACTACAACCAACAATTATTGTCATTACTAATTCATCTGGAAATTATTTTATTTAATATCTGATCTATTTTTTGTTATTGTAAACAGTGTCAGAGGTATTGGATGACAAATCTAATTTACTGAAATCAAAATAACATTATTTAAATATATTTGAATATATTTGTTTAATGTTGTCATTTCCATGTTCCTGTACATGTTTCCTCCATTGTCTTAAAGATTTTACCTGTCATAACACCGTCATTCCGCCCATCTGTTTTTCAAACACTTAATGCTACCTTAAGTGAACTCACACTGTGAACTCTTCTCATTTGTTGACTTTGTTCACTGACCTCCTCTTTTTTTTTTTTTTAAATTTCAGTTATTACATTTAAAGACATTATTCTAAGTATTCAAAAGAAATAGTCACCACTTTGTCCCTTAGTCAAGCATCTCTATATTCCAGTCATTTTCATTAGTGTGAAGGAGTTGTTTAATGTGTTTCAAAAATGTCACATTTTGTTAACTAACAAAATTGTGTAGCAAGGTTTAGCCTAAGTTATTGTCAATACTTCTTCTTTCCAATGAAATAACAAGTGATTTTCAAAATGGTCCCATCACATGTGTGTAGGAAGATATATTTCTGGCAAGTTTATTTTGAGTAATCTGAATCTAGTTTTTGATGGCAGCTGAGACACCAGAAGGTGGCAGCAGAGTCGTAACCACGTTGAGGTACATCATCAAGTGATTTTAAAGGTGATCTGTTTATGAGCTGCTCTCTAGTTCTTTGACAAATTTTGACACTTTCAGTGTCATGACCTTATTGCTTTATTAATTAAATTTTTTTCTTCCACTCACCAAACCCTGAAATCAACATGAACACACAAACAACATTTTTGTTTGCCATTGATAGGACGACTGAATGATTCTGCAGCTCGGCACTAATCATACTCTCTGTTGTAATACAGCATTTTTCTGGTTCTTCCCAGGTACCTTTCCATGTGGTTATCATGTTAATCATTAGTAAGACGTGTCATCAGAGGTTCTATTGATGCAGCCTGACATTGAGTACCAGCACACTGTTTGCTCTGTCAACACACACACACCCACCCTAACCACACCGAGATGGACCTCATTTTACAACCACTTAAAGGAAGCATACCTGTCTGCTTTAAGCTGATGTCAATTTAAAAGAGAGTCTGTGTAAATGGTATCAACCCAGTAGAAATGGTGTTATTATAAATTAAGGAGTATAATGTAAAACAGCACCACTTTGTCATTAAAATGTTTGCCTGCATGCAACAGAGAAATTTGAGTTAATTATACACCTTTTGAAATACATTAATGACTGAACATATTAGCGGAACTGAAGTGTAAGGGTTGAAAGCAGTTTGTCAGTTCACAAGTAAAAGCTTGTTACACTATGCACCTTTATATTTATTTCACCTGTAAGAATATATTTGGTACAATTTTAGCATATTTTGTATTGTTTTTAATTGTAAACATAATTTCCCAGTTGTCTCTGTACCTGGGAGATTTGTTCAGTTATACTTTATCAGAAACACAATGCAAACAAGGTCTTAGATCCCCTCAGGGCAGGGAGAAAAAAAATTGTGTTGTGGCAATCCACTAGCCAACCTCTACTTCCTGGAGAGGGGAGTAACAGAATAAAAAGCTCCGCTGGTAATTGTGCCTGGGTTGGGTGTGACCCTACCAGGAGAGAATGGCTTGCTGTTTGTTGTGGGGGAGGGGGGGGCAGAGTGGGCAGGCACATAGAGGAATTTACCATCGTGTTCCTTTCCCACAGCAAACACAAGCAGTCAACCGGTGTGGAACCAACTGCCCTTACCTGCTCTATCTGCTAGCACTGACAGTGGAAAGGTAAGCCTTTGTTCTGCTGTGACTTTGAAGTGTGACTGGGATGCCCTCTGCTTGTTTTACAATGTGAGTGGCAGTTCCAAGTTTTTTGCTTCTCTTCAGTTAGAGAAATTTGCTACAGCTTTTCATCAAGGCCAAATTAATAAGTTAAGTCTCTGTTCTCAGAAAAATCAACACAAAGATCCTGAGAGATTCTATTTGTGTGGTCTGCCTGTCTAAAATCTAAAAGTTAAGATTCATTGTGGGAGTTTATGATCTTTGAGAATTTTTTTCAACTTCAGTTTGGTAGATGCAAAGATCCAAATAGCTGGGTCACCTTTGTACAGCCAGCAGCTATGTAAAGGTGGAATGACAGGTACTTTGACTGGAGGCAGATCTCCTTTAATGTCATTTGACACCTTATACAAACAGGTAACGGACAAGTCAAGAACAATATGTTTACTGGATGCTTGTAAAGCCTGAGGCACTGAAAAACTGGTCGTCAAGCCTTTGCAGAGGTGATTCAGAGGTTTTAGTTTTCTTTACTTTTAGGCAACTTGAACACTTCCACAAAGTAAAACTTTTGGTTTTTGTCTATCATTTCAGAATATACTGTACTTTGACTCAGTATTTTTAGGTTTTATGTTAAATGGTCAGAACATCCACCCGCCGTTTACTCCATGTTCTGAGTAAACCAGAAAAAAAATCAGAGTTTTCTACCACATGCAGATTGAACACATCGTGCAGGTTACAGAGTGAATTCTCTGGGTTTCAGTGGAAATGCTTATATTGTAATTTGGTAACACAAATCCCTCCAGGACTGCCCACAAATTTATTTGAGATTAAAATGCGGAATCTCCTGGCTGAAATAAACTGGTCTCAAAGACAGCACAGAGGCACTAATCATGGCAGCACAAGAACAGGCATAAGCTCAACAGAGGCCAGGTTCTACCTCATCAGACAGGAGCCCAGTACAGCACATAACAGCAGGCTGTAAGATGTAGGCAGGCACATCATAGGTGGGATGCTATAACCAAGTAGCTGGCTTGGTGTACAGAAACATCTGCACCGAGTGTGGGCAAGAAGTCCCATGATCAAAATGGAAGACTCCTCCAAAGGTGGTAGAGAACGACCAAGCTAAGATCCTGTGGGACTACCAAATCCAGACTGATAAACTAGTGGTGGCTAATCAACCAGACATTGTGGTGGTCGATAGACAGCAGAAGGCAGTAGTGATAGATGTAGAAATCCCAAGTGACAGCAACATCAAGAAGTAGGAACATGAGAAGGTGGAAAAACACCAAGGGCTGAGAGAGGAGCTAGAAAAGATGTGAAAAATTAAGGCAACAGCAGAACTAGTGGTGATTGGAACATTCAAGGCTGTAAATCCCAAACTGGGAGAGTGGCTTCAGCAGATACCTGGAACAACATCTGAGATCCCCCTCCAGAAGAGTGCAGTCCTCAGAACAGCTAAGATGCTGCACAGAACCCTCAAGCTCCTACAGGACTCTGGTAGAGGACATAAAAACACATAAGACTACCCGCCAGGGCAGGCAGAGTTTAATTAATAAATGACAAATAAAGATAGTTGTATCCAGAAGTCTAGATAGGACTGTGTCTACATCACTAGTGATCCTGTCAATAAAGCAGCTGAATGTACACACACAGAGACGCACATGCACTTGCATAACATTTTCAAATCAAACCAAGTTTATTGTCATTTTGCTGTGCATACACAGTAGTACAGGCAAGATGAGAAAGTGTTTCTTTAGGATCATTTAATTCGTAAGTTTTGTGGAATGTACGTCTGGGATAGGCAACACACTAAACGTATCACTCTCGCGGTCTCCTGAAGGGGCCGCTGCATCCCCATCATTCATACCTTCTTTGGAAATTTACTAGGGTCTACAGTATCAAAATAATGTATTTATCTGAGGACATGCAGAAGCCATCCATTATCTATCTATCTATCTATCTATCTATCTATCTATCTATCTATCTATCTATCTATCTATGTAAATGGCCAAGTTGCCTGGTTTTCATGTCACCTTTTCAAGACAGCACTTTCACTTCCTGGTGTTTTGAATGAGTGGCCATTACAGGATCATTGCAGGGGAATATCAGCTGGCCTGGTTGTCCACCTGTTGTAGGGAAGTCCTAGTAATGGGTTGGAGACTCAACAATTTGGCTTTTCACTGCAGACTGATAGATAACCGGTGTTGTTAGCCTGAGCTTGGCATGTGATTCTTTACATCACACACACACACACACACACACACACACACACACACACGATTATTAACTGCTTTGAATTGGGATTGTGCTATATGTTACCAAAGTGCAACCCAGAATTTCACTGTCTCTCACTCTGTCGCTCTCTGTCTCTGCATGCTTTAATGAGAGAGAGGCTATTAGGCAAAGTGTGGAAGTGATCTGACAATAAGGGCATGATCAGTAGGTCAATATTTGTTTAGGAAACAAACCTTATGTTCACTGCAGCAACTGTAACACCTGTAACTGCAGTTAGCTTGTTGTAGTTTCTGTCTGTCCCTCATCACATCTATTTTAAAAAAAGATAACTTGTGCTTTATCTTTTGCACTTTGGTCATTACTTAATGTTTTAATTTGTTCAAATTAAGTGTATTTTAGTTAATTTAGTTAATTGTTGGGCTGCAAGGTGGCTCGGTGGTTAGCACCGAGTTTAGTTTGCATGTTCTCCCCGTGCAGCGTGGGTTCTCTCCGGGTTCCTCCCACAGTCCAAAACCATGTTGAGGTTAATTGGTGATTCTAAATTGTCCGTAGGTGTGCATGTGAGTGTGCTTGGTTGTCTGTCTCTAAGTGTGGCCCTGTGATAGACTGGTGACCTGTCCAGGGTGTTCTCTGCCTTTGCCCTAAGTCAGCTGGGATAGGCTCCAGCCCCTCCTGCGACCCTAGTGAGGATTAAGTGGTGTATAGATAATGGATGGATAGATGAATAGTTAATTGTCAGTTAAAATTATATGTTTTGATGAAAAATGTGCAGGTTACAATGCTTGACAGAAGAACACAGTTGTAAGGGGGGATCATGTATGTAAAATACTCTTTAAAAAAAAGAAAAAAAAAGACAGCATGTATTTAGGCTTTACTAAAAGCTGGACATAAAACAGAAGTTTCTCCAGATGGAAATAAACACTGGTAACAAATCCAGTGTCAAAGGTTAATAACTTGGGTATCACTTTATCACCTACTTGACAATGTTTTTGTGAAACTGTTAGTTATATCACAGTCCTACTGGATGCCGATGGGTAGTTAATAACCTTACCCCTTTTGTGTGTGCATAACCTAGTGGCTGCATCAAGGAGGAGGAAATATGGACACACTGTATGCGTGGTTCTGGTGGGACAGAATCTGGCTGCCTGAGGGCCTGACATGGGCTGACCTGGAGGACAAGGAGGGTCGAGTCTATGCCAGAGCCTCTCATCTTTACGTCACTGTCCCCTATGCCTTCGTCTTTTTACTCATCAGATACCTGTTTGAAAGGTACGATCCACATTCTATGTACAGCAGACTACATAACAAGTATAGTGTATGTGTCAAAAACCTGATAACTTCTTCCTCTGAGTGCTGTGCTTGTACACAAACTATTAAAAGCACATGAGCACAACAAACCATGGAGCCTCCAGGAGCTCACAGTGGAGATTTTTTTTCCTGATTACGTCTTTCGTCTTGCAATAAAATTGCATTACGCTGCAATAATCCAGTATTGCGAAGTAATGCAAAACCTACTGTAAACTTACTGTATGGCAACAAAATAGTCCAGAAAAGATTTCCCCAAAAAGGTCACAATTTCGTAACACTTAAAAAGCATTGTTAATTAATGGAAATTGAACTTTAGTTATTGCTTTTCAGTTAGCAAACTATAAAAGGTTAGATAATAATATTTGCTGATTATTACAATTTATTGTTCAGTCATTTAAAGCAATTTGTTTATGATTTATATATTGTAGCATAGCTGACATGGTAAATAATTAGACTTAATTTATGAGCAGTTGAAGAGCGTCAGGAAGGGTGGGGGAGAGGGGGTAGTGACATGCAATAAAGCTGTGCCATGGGCTGGAAAAAACATGGTCACAATGACTTGTAGTCTCAGTATATTGGCCACAAAATCATTTGTAAATCTTGAAGAAAACATGTGTGGAACATCTGTAAACCTTATTTGGATGTTTTTTTTTTTACAAAGCTGTAGCTAACTCTTTGTACCGAGTCTATAAAGTATCAAGTAACATTAATTTAAACCTTCTATTGGTAATCTATAATTGAGTGATCATTTTGAAATTCTGTCTGATGATCACATTGAAGACATTTATAAAGACGAATAAATAGTAAGAGATGAGAACAATGGGATTAGAAAAACAGTTGGCACACCTGTTCTTTCTCCAGATTAGGGCAGAGGGCTGCTGTTTCTTGAAGAAACTTGATTCTCACAAAGATGACGTAATAACAGAGAACCAAGAAGGTGCTGTTCACTGGGACAGTACGTGCACATGTCTGACAATAGTTTTTGCCCTACTTCCAATACATCATTAGACAAAGTCAAAAGTGTTTTCTTTGGGAAAGGAGTTGTTTTTCAGCTAATGTGATAAGCATGAGAAAGGCAGAAAAATAACTCACCAATAAAAATGTATTTTAAGATAAATGAATGATACACTAATTAAAATGTAGGATAGGGGTACTTTGGAGGCACAATTTACTTTAACAGTTGAGTCATTCCATACCAGCTCACCCAGGATTGTCCAGTAGGACATAGTGCCCCACTCCAAATACTTTTAGAGTTGTTTTTGTTGTTGTTGTTGTTGTTGTTGTTGTTGTTGTTTGTCCCTCAAAGCTAAAATTAATTTAATCATTTTTGGACTTCTTTGTGTGTGTTCTCTATGTCTCCATCTGTATATTTTCTGATTGAGCTGAAATTTGTGCTGAACATCCTCAAAGCCCCAAGAATATATATATAATATGTCGAGCATATTTATATGCACTTCCATTAGACTTTTTTTCTAAATCTAACCTAAACTGGTAAATTTCTCTCAGGTGAATCTTAACTTTCTCTAATGAAGAGAAATGTGTGTAGCATTACATAGATCAACCAATGACCAACCAGTTTTCTGAAATAGCTCAAAGATGCATTTTATGAACCATCAACTGGCAAGTATAGAGGAAGACTGCACTGTATTTCCTACAGCACTGCATGTACAGTTTTCCATAAGGAGATAGTCCAATGTTCACATTTCTACTTTTGTTTTTTTCTTTGTGCTATGCAGTGCTGTCTTTTCCTTTCTGTATCGCAGTGACATGGTCTGTCAACAAATTACAGTACAAACAGTAGAAGTGTAAATTCGAATCTTGTCCAGTCTCTTGCAATCAATCTCCCACATAGCCTGAGGTGTAACTTACAATTTACTATCCTCATCATCATCATGGCGGCCTCAGCTGAGCTTCACGTCTTAGGTTCCAATCCATCCTGTGGGTCATGGATGCGGAGAGCTTGGCTGAGGTGGTCGCACCAGTATCCCCCTTTAGGGTGTCCAGAAAGGTGATGGCAGGTCTTCCCGGTTTCCACCAGCCGTAGGATGGCTCCCAAAGAACGAGCTGGTTGGCAGGGCAGTGGCTAGACTTTGCTTGGAGCTGGTCTAGAATGGAGCAGTGAGGCGCCTCCTTCCCACCTTGGGTGCGCACCTCAGGCAACTGCTAGTACACCCCATGCCTCCCTTGCCAGGGTTACGGCAGAGGCGGTTATGTCACTAACACATTGGCATTTCCGGCATTTGGCATTCCAATTTGTCAACTCGGCTGCTGTTCTGGCACAACACAAGGTGATGTGAGGAGTTGCGACCCCATCTCCTTTACCATATGGCATAGCAAAGTTTCACAATTTACAATAATTGTCATTAAAACTTTAGCCATAGTTTACATCAGAACATCCCTCCATAGTACACTGTTATATTGACAACATGACTAAACAATTTGACTGTCTTGTCTGTACACATTGACACAAGGACTTGTGAACTAAGGATTGTGCAAGTAACTGCCTTTTGCAGGTAATCCATGCTGTTTTGCTATTTGTATGAATTGTTTTGAGAAATGCACTTACTGTTTTGCAAATGTCGAGGATGATTCGAAAAACGTACCAAAGCGACTGAGAAAAACTATAATACAGTTCAAGTCATTCCAGAAGTTATTGAAACGGACTGTCACAGATCTTGCTGAACGTAGCTTCGGAGCTAAATATAAGCTTCCTGCCTGCGTGGTTTCTCACCCTGTCCAGGATAAACCCTGCCTTCACCCTAAGTCAGCTGGGAGAGACTCCAGCACCCCCATGACCCTACAGAAAATGATAGTATTACTAATAATCAATAGACATTATTATCATTTTATTGTTTAACAGTAAAATAACTGTTATGTATTATGTATCGAATCATTTTTTGAAGACCAACAACGGTGTCAAAAGACTAAGTATCACATTGTTGTTGACAGTCTGTGAACTCGCGGACTTTGAAGGGTCTAATGAAGGCTTTTAATTAAGCAGTGAAACAAGCCTGTTGTAATTGAACTTTCAAGTGAAAGGTTTTGATTAGATTTTTTCTTTGGCAAAATCCAAAGCATCAAACACAATAGTCAATTTGTAGCTCAGACAATGAAGTCCCTGAATCTTCTCCTTGTACCAACTGCACCCTAACTTTCTTTGATAACATAAAGAAACCATTTTAATACCCTGTTAATTTTAGTGGATTGCATGTCAACTACAGTCACACCTGGCACACATCGACTGTTCCACATAAGGAGAGATCACAGAATGACCCAAAGGAATCCGAACACGCTCGTCTTGTGTATTATGACAGTGTTTTTTTCTGTAATGTTATCAATATTATACAAGCTATTTTTTTTATTTAGACATGTAAATAAATGTGCGCCCTCTAACATGTCATTAAGTCCATTACAGGCTGTATGTCCCCTATCGACATAGAATTGAATCTTGTATTGTGCTGTATTCCAGATGGATAGCAACATCACTTGCAGCCTCTTTTGGAATCAAGCAGAGAGTCCACATAAAACCAGAGGACAACCCCGTCCTGGAACTCTACTACACTACTCAGTGTAGAAATCCTGCTTCGGTAAACAAAGACACACTTGAATCAGTCCTGTGCCAGTTCAACATTGTTCACCAGTGGTGTTAAGAATTATATTCATTTTTTAAATTTTCCATGCCACTAAAACCACATTTTTCTGCTGCTGGCAGGTGGAACTTTGTCCCATTTTCTGTAAGTGATGTGTCGGCAGACAAGCATTCAGCAAACTATTTGTTTGTTTTTACAACCTAGCTCTTATTTTCATAGTTCTACTCATTGTTTTATTATTAATTATAATACATGAAGAGTTCATTTGCAAAATCAGATAACTCCATTTTTGTAGATTTTTATTTTTTTGTTGTTTGCGTGATATAATATCTATCAAACTGAAGTTGAGTGGGTTTGACTCAGTAGAAATGACATGACAAAAATAGAGATAACTTAATTTTGACTGATATTGTCTCATAAACGATGGAAAAGTGGGTTTTCTGAAGGTTTGTGAAAATGGAGTTATCTGCTTTTGCAAATGAGCTCTTCATATGTTATGTATACTGTATGTGCACTGTCTGGATTTCCCTCCTCAGCAAGAGAATTCAACATTTTAATTTTTTAGTTCTCTGACATTTGCTTAGTTGCCGTCATGTATGAGTTACACAAATAACACATAATAATGTGCATCATTACCTGGTCTTCTCTTGTTTGTGTTTTCATCTAGAAACTCTGTCACCGAAGAGAAAACATAAATGATTGTTGTTTTTTTAAGTTCATACAAATCTGTCTTCCTGTAACATCCATCCATCCATTTTCTATACACCGCTTAATCCTCACTAGGGTCGTGGGGGGGGCTGGAGTCTATCCCAGCCGACTTAGGGCGAAGGCAGGGGACACCCTGGACAGGTCGCCAGTCCATCTCAGTCTTCCTGTAACATCCAGAGAAATATTACTCATTCATTGTGACAAATTTGCCTAAAATGAAGCTTAAATGTCTCATTTTTTCCCCAAAACAGATGCTACCATTCCTGTATATACTTAAAGCATATATACTGCTACATGCTATTGTCTCGTCTGACCATGACAGCAACCAGAAACAAGGGTTCTTTATTTGGCTTTATTAAACAAACAAACAAACAAACAAATAAGTAAGTAAATAAATAAATAAATTCTGATCTTGTAGTATTATTCTTAACGCATCTGAAAACATATTTTAAAAAAAACAGCCTCATCATATGACATCTTTTTAAAATCCCTATTGTGGGTACCGGTTGTATAGATAGTTTACAAACCTTACTGCTGACAACACTCATTGGATCTACACAAAGCATGACTACTGGAGGTCTGTTACCGAGGAGATGGAAGTGCAAGGTTGTTCCTGGAATACAGACATGTTTTAAAGTGTGTGTGTGTGTGTGTGTGTGTGTGTGTGTGTGGGCATGTGTGTGTGCGCGTGTGCGTGTGTGTGTGTAAATATTTCAATACCAGGCAGACGTTGATGGTCTTTCTAAGAAAAGCAGTTTGTCAGTGAGACAAGTGGAGCGCTGGTTCAGAAGAAGACGCAGACAGGACTTTCCAGGAGTTCTAAAGAAATTCAGAGAAGCCAGGTCACTACTCGTTGTGTGTGTGTGTGTGCGTCCATGTGTATGCGATTGGATGTGTGCGTTTGTGGTTATAATATTGGAGGAATACTTCCACTACCCATGGTTTATGTGTCTCCTCTCTGCTTCTTTCCAGTTGGAGGTTTGTCTTCTACTTGTCTGCTTTCATCGGAGGACTAGTGGCGTTGTATGATGTAAGTATTTTATATAATGAGTCCATCTCAGCCAGAGGCTTTTATTGTGGAAAGCAGCTGCAGGCAGCTGTGAAATTTCTGAGCTACTTTAAACCCCCTTGCCTTGTGGCCGTAGCTATTCATGCTAAATAGAACCTTATGGATCATTGCTGTTCTTCTACATTTGAAATAAAGCACATAAGACATAACATTTTCTCTATATTATTGCAGAAAGAATGGCTTTATGACACAAAGGAAGTATGGACAGATTTTCCCAAGCAGGTTTGTTTTATATTTTACATTCATACAATCAGAAATTTTAATTGAAAGCAATTCAAGTTTTACTGCTGATTTTTATCAAATCTTTTAAATAATTTCTTTTTCTTTATCCTTTAAGCATAATAGCTCCTGCAACAGTCATATCCTTGACTATGAAGTCTTGATTCCTAAAACCTCATTCAGTACAAGGATTTTGTCAAGATGTTTCTTCCACTGCTGCTTTCTTTAGTTTCTGGCTCTAGAAAGATGTCTTTCTTTGTTTTAAAATAACACGAGACTGACCACATTTTTAAAATAAAAACAAATTCCCATGAAGCAATTTTACAAAATGTTGTGTGTGTCTCTGCTACTGAAAGCCAGAAATATAGTTATTGGCAGTTGTGGACTGAGCAGGTGAAAATACAAACACAATTTGAAAATAACAGCTAAAACTGCACCACACCACATCACCACAGAAGTTGGTTTGTTCAGAGCCAAATGGGAAGAGAAGTGCAAGTAAAGGAGATACAATATTAGAGGAGTCACGATTTTAAAGAAATAAGACATCCTTTCCTCTGAAATGTTATCTGGCCACATATCAGCTTCTGATGATGATGATGATGACATTTCAGCATCAACTGTCAGTTGACACTTTGTGAAGTCATTATGTAAATATTCAGCTAATGATGAGAATAACTTGCGATTTGTAAAAAATCTTCAGCAACATGAAAGACTTTGGGTTTTGCAACACAGGCATATCACATCTAGCGGTGGTCTGAGCATGAGCTGCAGGGAGTTTACCCTCTCGTGTAACTGTTTGGAAATGACAGTATACAGTTTTAAGGTTTCTATAGGTGGTGGGAAATCTGACCTACATAGTAGTCTTCTGCATTTTGGGGTGGAATGTGTCCATGTGTGTTGTTCAGTCAGATTGAGATATGGGGAGTTTTGCGCTCTTCGTCATGTTCTTCAAGCGGTTTCTGTGTAGGTTGTGTGGTGCTGCAGGGCAAATTGTCCTGCTGGGGGAGGCAACTGATGTCTGAGGGTTCTGTTGTCACAGAGAGGTGTGCATGGTCAAGTGGGTGGTATGTGCCACAGTAGCATCCTTATGAATGCCAGGAGTCATGGTCAGTGGTATATACTTTACCTGTCAGTGGTTTTAATGTTGTGGCTCACAGTGCACGTGATCCCACAGTGCCATTATAAGCCTGCACTTGCCTTTGAAAAATGGAATTGTGTGAGAGATGAAACCCCAGAGTGCAAACTAGATTGTTTTACAGTTCTCTCCCTGTAGCTAAAGGGGTGAGCACAAAGAGCACAGCCTTAAGGGACAAACCTTTTGTCTAGAAGACTGAGATTGACGATAGCTTCATGTTACATGCTGTCCATCTCTGTCTGACTCTGTCTCTGTTTCTGTTCCTCTCTTTGTCTGCAGTCCATGCTGGAGTCTCAGTACTGGTATTATATATTGGAGATGAGCTTCTATGGCTGTCTTCTCTTCAGTGTTGCTTTTGATGTGAAGAGAAAGGTGAGTAGTAGTTGTCAGAGGCCTCAGCCTTAACTTTAAATCACATATTTAAAGTTGTGTAAAATTGCCACAGGACATTTGTTACAGGACCATTAAAAATAATGCGATTAGGAAAAAAAACATTGAAATAGCGTTATTAGTAATATCTATTTTTTGGCTACTATAGACTATTGTGCAGTACCTATTTGGAATTTCAGGAGTCTGTGATGTATTTATATCGAATAACAGTCAACAACAGTCAGTGAGAGAGAAAAGAGAGTGTGTCTTTTCTCTGTTTGACTCTTTACTTCCCTCTCTGCCACTCTGTAATTCTCTAACTTGTATCTTGGCTTATTTGTGTGTAGGATGGATAGATAGAATTCATGCATAATGTAAACTTACAGGATTTGTGAAGAGACACGTACCCCTGACTGTGAGAGTTTGCCATGTTACCTGATGTAATGGTATTTGATGTAATGGTATTTGTTTTCTCTTTCAGGACTTTAAGGAGCAAATCATCCACCATTTGGCCACACTTGTCCTTTTATCATTTTCCTGGTGTGTCAACTACATTCGTATAGGAACACTGGTCATGCTTGTCCATGATGCTTCTGATGTTTTACTGGAGGTCAGTCACAGCCACATGTTCCTTTAAACAGCTACATTACCTTGTGCCATTTTAAAACTGGATGACAAGATCAAGCTTTTGTAAAATGGATGTAATGTATTTTGTTGAGTCTAGAACAAAGTGTACAAAGAAGTTTCATCTTTATAAGATTTCAAATAGGCCATTCACATAACAGTGTCCAGAAATTTGCTCAGTTTATTTCTTGAAACATTTTTTTTTCCTGGTCATATTACTTGATAATTAACATCTATGCCATATGTCAACATCAGGAATGGCAGGAAATATGCTACGTAAATGCATTTTTACTTCAAATACGAATAAACAATTAGATTCAAAAGTTTTTATTATTGTAAAATTACTGAATTGTTGAAAACAGGATAGATCCCATGAGATGACATAGCAACTGGGAAATAAAATGCAACACTTCTATATAATAACTACTTATGATATAAAAATGTTGGGATAGACTCCAGCCCCCAGTGGCCCTACAGAGGATGAAGTGGTGTATAGATGATGGATGAATGGATAAGCTGTCCTTCAGACTGTACACACATCTATCCTATTCTTGTGATAAATTGAGGGAATTTCTTTAAATTCAAACTCAAAAATAACTTGATTTGATTTTGGTGGTCAAAGGTCACTGTGACTGTGAATTTCAGACAAGTATCTGACAGCATAAGATGTCTAATCAACTTCACAGTAGCATCATAATGTTCTGCATTTAGACTTTTCAGGCCATTATTCAACGACATAACTACTGGTGACTGTACTTCACATTTGGTTAAATACTGATTTGGTCACAATAATCTTACCCACCTAATACATTTCTTTAAAGTCTGAACAGACATCAATGTAAACTGCTGATTTTTAAAAATTATTCAGAATTATAATAACAATGGGATACTTCAAATGTTCCATGTTTGGCATGATATTATCTCAGTAGCTGTAGAGGTACTTGTATTTGTAAAATGTGGTTTATCTTAAAGGTTTCAAACATAAAACCATGTCATAGTCATTTATTTTTAACTGACACACCTGACATTTTTGGAGCTTGAGATGACAAAACATACAACTTTTAGTATTTTTATTTGACATGCATTTTTTAATGTCATGTGACTGACCCCTCTGCAGACCACTGAAATATTTAGTGCCAGCATTTTAAACCTTCTTTTCTCTACAATCAGTGCGATGAAACTACACTCTAGTTAAGGTGAGGCAGCTTCAGCACCTAGTTATTATAACTGGATAACATTTACAGTTCTAAATTGATGTACCATGTATTGCAAGTAAAGGCAGTGACACTGAGGCTTGTCTCGACAGCTATAGTTCCATCCATCTATTATCTATACACCGCTTAGTCCTCACTAAGGTCACGGGGGGGCTGGAGTCTATCCCAGCTGACTTAGGGTGAAGGCAGGGGACACCCTGGACAGGTCACCAGTCTATCACAGGACTACACTAAGAGACAGACAACCAAGCACACTCACATTCACACCAATTTAGAATCACCAATTAACCTCAACCTGGAGAACCCGGAGCGAACCCACACTGCACGGGGACAACATGCAAACTCCGTGCAGAAGGATCCCGGGTGTCCTCACTGGGACGCGAACCGGCGACCTTCTCAGTCCTCAGCGAGGTGACGGTACTAACCACCGAGCCACCTTGCAGCCCACAGCTATAGTTAACAGCATTACGATACATATCTATTATGATTTTAGACTCCTCTCACCCTCTCCATAAACTATTTGAACTGCTGCCATCAGGCAAACGTTTCTGGAGCACTGCAGGAAGAACCTCCAGACCAATCAACAGCTTCAACAGCTTCATTTCACAAGCTGTCAGAATGCTGAACTGCTGATCCAGACATGCAAACACTTTATTTAGTTGCTTTTAGTTTTTGGATCCTGAAGAATCACTCTCTCATCTTGTTTGTACTACTGTTGTCTGTACAGCAAAAATGACAATAAACTTGATTTAATTTGACTTAAAAAGAAGAGCAAGTTTTAGGGCTGGTATATAGTATACATATAGTATATTATTAAAATTTCACTACAAACAGTATTTTCTAAGAAAAAAGTCATGATTTCAGTGGTTCAAAGGTAAGGTGTAAACTCAGAGACTTTAATGGGTAATGCATGGCCAGGATTAACTCCACCTTGTGGAGTATTATCCATATTGTTTGTTTTTCCAATCTACCACTCCAGTCTCCACAACTTTACTTTCTGCCTCTTGAGCAAACTACTTTAACTTACTTCCTGTATTGATGCTGAACATTGACAATGGGTGTGGCTGGTTAAAATTGTACTGTGATATCATTCAGGGTTTATACTTTGTGATATTGAGTAAAATGGACCATAATTCAGTTCAAACTTGCTTCATTAACAGTAAAACTCCTTTCTATTTCAGTCTGCGAAATTATTCAACTACGCCAAATGGGAGAAAACCTGCCAAACACTTTTTGTTTTGTTTGCCATTGTGTTCCTGGTAACACGACTGGTCATCTTTCCATTTTGGTAAGCTTGTGTGTGTGTGTGTGTGTGTGTGTGTGTGTGTGTGTGTGTGTGTTTTCAGAAGTATGCTAAACAACAGACAGTATGAAATTTTATTCCTAAATTCCTAGTAACTGACAGTATTCTGCATATTATTTGGCTTCCTTCATTCATGCAAAAAGAAAGTGATATTTTGAAATAAAACAGGAAATAACTCAACTAAAACTAAAACCTAAACCCATACCACAGCCAGACCTTACCACCACACTTTGTTTTAACTTCATGCCACTGTTGGACAGTTAAATATAGTGGTCATTCAAACTACTGTGCAATGACAGTGTCCTTAAGTCACGTCATCTATCAACATGATGCTGGTCAATCACCTTCAGTCTCATGTATGTCATGCCACTGACTGCTAACTCCAGCCCTGCTACAGAGAGAGAGCAAGTCTCTGAGTGTGAGCAACTGGTGCTGACTGAAGTACAACTTAACAGTCAAAAACACACAATAGAATTCATTCACACAAGACATTAGCTACACCCTGAATATTATGGATTTTTTACTTGTTGTTTCTCATTTGTCTGTGTTTCAGGCTAATCCACTGCACCTGGGTGTACCCTATTCTCCACTACCCAGCCTTCTTCGGCTACTACTTCTTCAACGTGATGCTGGTGCTCCTTCTCTGTCTTCATATATTCTGGGCCTATCTCATTCTCCGCATGGTCAAGAAATTCATGTTTGGCACTGTAGGTCTACTCATCTTTCATCTACAGATATTTGCTTTTAGTCTTAGTAATGCCACTGAAACATCACATGAGTGTACACTCATTGAAAACAAACTATGAAACTATTCAGACTAACAGTTGTTATCAATACTTACTTTTTGACTGAACATCAACTCCATATTCCTGTCATATCTTGTTCTTTACGTTTACTGTATTTCTTTCATGTGATGCAGTTAACTAGAGATGAGAGAAGTGACAATGAAGAGGAAGAAGGGGAAGAGAGCAGCCCAGCAGAAGATGAAGGTGAACAACAAAACAAGCCTGTCAATGGACTGTCAGTTGATGACAAGGACAACAAGAATGGTAGCTTTGGATGCTTGTCTCCACCAGAGAACCTCTGCTGGTCAAAGACTGTGTACTGACTCATGTTCACTATAATCTATAGAGAAAAATATGTGATAAAAAGAAAAGTGGTGAATACATTTCATCCGATATTTATTATTTTGTTAGAAACTCACCTCAAACTAACCCAAAGTAAGGCTTGATGCTCTCACTTTGAACTGCTCACATGTACAGAAAAAATGATTTATAGCTTTTTTGTCATTGTTCAGCAGGGCTGATTCTAGTCTACCATATTACAGTGGCCAAGTAGAAATAATAGATGGGCAACTTAGGTGGTAGGTAGCCCTGACTTTAGAGGACTGATTAGTAATCTGAAGATTACTGGTTTGAGGTCAGATACTTGTGTCTCCTCCTTTGAGTGGAAATGCCAGTAGCTATCTGGCAGAAATGTTTTGTATGACATAAAAAAAAACATAAAATAAAGCTGACAATAAATAAATAAAGCAAATGTTTAGAACAAAAATTTGTTCCAATCCATACATGAGTTTAGCAGGCTATGTGTGTCTGATTTTCACAAGCAGTGAGACTGTGATTATTTTACTTGCTTTGCATTCTCAGAAAGATGCTCTAGAGCAGTCAGCTTTTTTTTTTTTTGTGCAGTTCAAAGGTCCTGAGTTCAAACCTCGGTCTGGGGTCTTTCTGTGTGGAGTTTGCATGTTCTCCTTGCATGGATTCTTGCTGGGTTCTTGGGCTTCCTCCCAAAGTCCGAAGACATGCTGAGGTTAATTAGTGATTCTAAATTGTCCATAGGTGTGATCATGTGTGTGCTTGTTCTCAAGGTTCATTATCTGTACACTGCTTAATCCTCACTAGGGTTGCGGGGGGCTGGAGTCTATCCCAGCCGACTTAGGGCAAAGGCAGGGGACACCCTGGACAGGTCACCAGTCTATTGCAGGGATACACTTAGAGACAGACAACCAAGCACACTCACACCTATGGACAATTTAGAATCACCAATTAACCTCAACATGCTTTTGGACTTGTGGGAGGAAGCTGAGGAACCCATGCTGCATGGGGAGAACATGCAAACTCCACGCAGAAACGCCGACCTTCTTGCTGCGAGGCAACAGTGCTAACCAGCTGCACCACCTTGCAGCCCTCATGACAAGCCATACATTGAAAATGCTGATTTCTGATGCTGACTTTCAGTGGAATGTTTGATGATGATCTGGAATTTTGTGTAATTTGGGTTGTGTTATTGTTGTTGAGTTTAACAAGTCTTTTGTTATTAAACAAATCTTCTCTATCAGTCTTTCCATTTTTACATACACAACGATGAAGTGAAACTGGAACTGTCAGGTTCTGTTGAAAATGATGAAAACCAAAGAATTTAATCGCAATTGTATCTTTGAAGGCCTCTAGCTTAAAAGTATTCAGTTCAAATTCATCTCTAACATCATCTCTGAGCTGATCTGACCACACTGAATAACCATCATCACTGACTGAATTTGTAGCTTTTCGTGGTATAGCACCCATTACATTGACAGCTCAGCTGTTTGTTCATTGTTGGTTGCATATTCATTAAAACCATGCCACAAGGGTGCTTAAAGTCACACAAACTTATACATTTATTTATAGAAAAATATTCCTCAGAGTAACATCTTGTATTTTATGTACTTATCGTACTATCTTAGATATGGACTTTTGTTGACACTTACTCAATGCAGATAAGTCAGCACAGGAATCAATATTACAGTTACCTGCCTAATATCAGAACAACACATTTGTGCATGCTATACACAATGTGCTACTATTTTGAAGATGGATCTGTGGCATTTCCTGATTTCTGTGGGAGTTCCATCGATGAGGTGGTCTAAAAAAATCAACAACAACAATTTTAGAGCTTTTTGAAAGCCATAGTAAATCTGGAAGCATGCTAGCAGAGCAGCAGCAGTTTGGATGTACTATATGTGGTTATTGCTACAGAAGGCATGTAGGCAAAGTACTGAGCTGTAGGTCACCTGTGTTTGCATAACTCCATTAGGCGGTTGACACAAACAACTAAAAAATGTACCATGAAAGTATGTAGACATGGCACACCCAGATGCTACTCCATCATGTTTCCATGGCAGTAAAATATGTTAAAAACAGCAAAACTAAATTTGTAAACCATTGTCTGTATTTATGCATGACAACAGTGAGACAACAGTGGTATCTTGAGGCCAATCAAGAAAATGCTACACTATTTGGCGTTGTATAGACTACGTTGTTTCTTGCAGTGACTCTAAAAGCATTTTAGAGAAAAACCTAGACAACAGAGATTACAACATGAATTTGTAAAAATAATTTTACATGAAAGCTGTGTTTCCCTAACTTTACCATAGTACGTATTTTAACCTAAACCATAATCTTTCCACAACCAAGTTGGTTTTGTGCTTCAATCTACCCAAACTTTGATATGATAAGAAAGCAAATATCTTCATCTGAATTTTTGAACTGTAGGTTACAGCAAAGGATTCTGTCCTACCAATAGGGGTGTAAGGCCAGAAAATTATTCTACGTGTTCAAGAGAATCAGTTCAATTACATTTTATTTCTACAGTGCCAATTCTATAACATGTCATTTCATAGCACTTCACATCGTAAGGTGAAGTTCTTACAGATTTTAAACAGAGAACCCAACAACCCAAAGTCCCCTTAGGTTCCTCAAACTATGGAACTATAAACTATGAACTACAAACTATGGAAATGCTGAGCTGGGTTGTATATTTCAATAAAGAAATGGATAGTCAGTGTTTAATCAATCATTTGAGCAACAGTTAATGAAGACTTAAGAACCTATAGAGCAGTGTGATAACATGTTGACAGAAAATGCATTCTTTGGGTTTTTTGGTCTTTTTTTTGGGTCTATTTATTAAAAAATTTCGTAACATATTGTATGAAGTGTCAAAATTGGACATGTAGCAAAAAAAACCTCAATTGTTTGTGCTGTTCTGTGCTGCAGCAGGGACACATTGTGAGTTTTTTTCTGGATTCACTCAGGTTCAATTCAACCTTTAATAATTTAAGAGGGGGATCCACGGCAAAAGATAAATCAAATAATATACATACCAAGAATGATTACCCAGTGATAAGTGTGTTTCCTGAAACCACTTTTGACTCCCTATCCTACAGATTTCATCCGCTCCTTACCAAACTTAATGCATGTGTGTTTTGAGGACATTTCGATTATGTTCGATTTGAGATATCATGAATCATTTCATTATTGGCTAACAATCTTTTGTGGCTGTGGTCAAACCAATTCAAAATGCTATGGCTCTTGAATGCCAAATTTGGCTCGAGTGTACAGACTGAGAAAAGAGATAAGAATGCTGATTTTCACCCCTAGGTGGTGTTATAGTAAAAAAAAAAAAAAGGCTCAATTGCCACTTCTGCAATATGTAGTCTAAAAGCTAAATAGACTAAAGAGATGCTCAGTTTTTTTTTTCTTGTCTGCAGGGCCAATTGGTAAGATGAGACCAAAAGAATAGTGTTGTGGTCTGATGAACCCAGAGGAAGCATCAGCTGGAATTTATAAGCTCCCCTAAAGACATCATAACACTGGTCCATTATTTTACCCTGTTGTTTTAGATGTGTGACATACTGGAAGCAATGATTTCAAGACTTAGATTCTCCCATAATAGAATGTCAAATCATCAAGAACATGTGGGTTCTGTTGTGGACTTTTCAGTGCTATTATGCGTCCTTTCTAGTCCTGCATGTATGTGGAACAAAGTCAAAGAATTGCTCCTTCTGGGTTAAAGTGTAAGTCAGCACACTTCTTAAACATGGCCAAAAGAATATTTTCAAATATGAAAAGTATGTCTGTGACAGCCATATGGTGTCCATGCACATGTAGATACTGGAGGGGTGGTAGTTTTAACAATAATGTCCAAGCTGTACCAGATCTGTGATCCTCAACAGGATGGTTCCAGGACGAGCTGCTACTGATTGAATACAGTGTGTATTTTGTCAGTTTTGTTTTGTCAATTCCAGATGTGCTTCAATGCCAAGAAAATCAAATTGACATGACTAGGGAATTAGGTATTCCACGTCAACAAACCAGCTGTATTTCCTCAAGATGCAAGGTGGAACTCAAGGAAAAAAGACATAAGTTGCTAGGATGAGGGCAAGTGCGTAGATCATCAGAGAAACAAACTAAAATTCACTCGTTACAAGCATAAAAAGCCCATAGTGGAGGTATGTTTTTGTTTTTGCAAGTAAAAGACAACTGATCCTCTATGAGAAGCTGCCACCTCTCAGCTAAACAG